TTTCATTGCTATTATTTTTTTATTTACCTTCCGAATATATTTTAATTTTTTTTGGAATTTTCATATTTTTTATGCGGGGACTAGAAAATGGGTTACAACAAAGGGAACCCTTGGTAGAAGGCATTTTGGGATGCCATATGTTAATGATGAATGAATTAAGGGTGGTAGGAAGTTTACTAATAGGGGAAGCATGATAACTTAATAGTAGAAAACTTCGCGAATCAAATGCATGTATTATGTGAGGTGGAAATGAATTTATTAACCACAGATATAGCCTATGATTTTTTTTAGGAGGAGTTACAAAATATAGGAAAAACATAGAAATAGTTGTCTTCAGAGAAGAAGGGAAATAAGGATAACAATTAACAGAAATTGGACAAATTCATCACATCAATTCTAGAAAGGATTTGAACCTAAAAATAATAAAATTTAGGGATGGTTTCTTCATAGAAGTTATAGCCAAGGATAACTTTCCAATGAATCTGCCCTTAGTGGCATTATGGGTAAAATCTGGTTTCCTTCACTTTGAAAAATGTGTAGTGATGTGTCTTAGGGTTCAAAAGGAAATAAGCCATCTTCGAAACCAAATTTATGATGATAGTTATGATTTAATAAAGAACAATGATCTTTAGGGGTGTAACGAGAAACACAAATGTAAAGGAAGCAATTGTTAAAAAGAAGTCAACATTGTCATTATTATTATCACTATCATTATTATGAGAAATGTAACTTAAGTAAGAAATGATATGGTATACTTATGGAATCAGGAGGGACCGTAAGAGGGGTATGACAACAACAAGGGAGCGCGAGCTGAGGTTTTGTAGCAGGTAGGTGTTCTATACCTATACTTTTTAAAATAATAATAATTTTGATAATCTATTTAGTTCTTGGATTTTATATCTATGGGTGAAGCCATAAAGAGAAAAGATAAGGTGATGTTGATATCGACAATCACATGAAACTTGATTAGCTGATGTGGAAGCTAATGATGTCAAGAATCTTTGACATCAACATTCCCATAATAGTGAGAAATGAAAGTAGACTTGATTAATTGATTTGATAAAAAAAACATGAGCTATATTAATGGACTTCATTGATAATTGCTTCTTGAATTTGATTAGTTAGTCTCGAGCATGGGAGGCTAATGATTTTAGTAAAGTTTACTAACATTGGCATGATCATTCCAGAAAATAAGAGATACTGAACTTGATTAAATATTCGGGTTATGAATAGTTAATAATATTAACAGGTGATGTTGATATCGACAATCACATGAAACTTGATTAGCTGATGTGGAAGCTAATGATGTCAAGAATCTTTGACATCAACATTCCCATAAATACTCGAAGGTGTTATGAAAAATTGATTAGCTATTTTGGGTTGGAAATAGTTTGTCATAACCCATTTTGGCCCCCCATAAAAAATAATAAAATACAAAAAAATAAAACTGAACTTGATTAAATATTCGGGTTATGAATAGTTAATAATATTAACAGGTGATGTTGATATCGACAATCACATGAAACTTGATTAGCTGATGTGGAAGCTAATGATGTCAAGAATCTTTGACATCAACATTCCCATAAATACTCGAAGGTGTTATGAAAAATTGATTAGCTATTTTGGGTTGGAAATAGTTTGTCATAACCCATTTTGGCCCCCCATAAAAAATAATAAAATACAAAAAAATAAAAAAACATTATCAAAAAATATAAACAGTGAACAAAGGATGTCAGCGCACCTAAAAAATGGGTAAAAATTGGTTGAGGAGGTTAAAAAATATAAAAATTAAAAGTTAACAGTATTTTATTGACTAATGATAGTCCTATTGACAAAGAAAGTTCAATTTGAGTAAGAAAAGTCCAAAATCAGATGTTTATGGACTCAATTAAATTTTATTAAAGGTTTAATTGAATTTATAGAGAGTTTCATTATAAGAAAAATTGATTTTGGGGTTAATTTAGGCTTTAATTGGAAGAAATTAAAGATCCGGGGTCAAATTATAATTTTTGAAAGTTAATTTGGTCCAATCAGAGGCTTAATTATATAAATATTGCAGTTTGATGGCCATGTAGGGACTTAATTGAAGAAATCTGAAACCAAAGACCAAAATAGAAAAAGGCGCATAAGTAGAGGGGCTGTAATTAAAACCGGTTAGGGGCTCAATTGAAGAAATTAGAAGTTTATTACTCAATTGAGGGTCAAATTGCATAATTCCAAGAACAAAGACTAAAGTAAAAAAGGCGACCAACTATAGGGCTACTGTTGGATTTTGGTAGGGATGTAATTGCATTAATTTTTAAAGCGAAATTGCAATTTAGGATTGGATTGACAAAATTACAAATTGAGGACCAAAGTGAAACTTAATAGGTTTTTACCGCCTTTTCATTTAAATGAAATGGCGAGTTTTGACGAAAATAGCGTCGTTTCATGCACTATTTACAAAAAAAAAAAGAGGAAAACTCAAAACGGTGCTGTTTTGAACGGTACCATCATCTTCTTCCCCTAGACGAAGCTGATTTTTTCTTCCTTCCTCTGTCACCACCCTCAATCTTTCCAACCGACACCTTCAAAAAGACACCAATACCGTTTTTCACGTGTTGGACGGATGGTGGAGGGGTAGCAGCACAGTGGTCGCTCCTGCCATTTGCTCCCCTATTTTTCACCTATAAAAACAAGGGGAGTAGACCACCTAGGAAAAAGGGAAAAAAGAAGAACAAAAAGAAAAGGAGGGAGGGAGAGCAAAAACATACCGAGAGAGAGACAGGACGCGAGAGAAGATAAAGAGCACGAACAGGGAGAGGGAAGACAAGAAAAAAACAAAGAAAAAGAAGGAAAACATATAAAGGAAAAATGAAAATAGAGGAAGGAGGAGGAGCATTGCCAGCCACCACGCCTCCACCGCCAACATCACCACCACTCTAGGTAGGCCCTCCGCCCTTCATTTTGCCTTCATTTCTTCCTCTGCCATGCAATGTGCATAGTGCACATTAGTAGGCGAGGAGATTTTGGAAGCAGCAATGGAAGGGTTTTCATGATAAAATCCTTCTTCCATAGTTAAAATATTTTGAAAATTAGTTTTGAAAATATATTTGGATTTGGTTTTTGGAAAACTGGTTACTGTGCTTATGCACAGTAACCTGCTAATATGGGCTGGAGGAGGCCAACCCATGTAGTTGGGCCAAGTTCGGCCCAACCTATGTAGTTGGGCCTGACTCGGCCCTTTTTAAAAAAAAAAAAATCAAATGCTTGTTATAGAATTGTTTCAATTTTTCTGTATATTTTTTTTATGTAATTTTGATTAATGTCAGACAGTATTTTTATGTCATAAAAATACAAATCCGATATTAAAATACTTGATTTTCATCAAAACTTTCAAAAAGACAAGAAAATTAAAAAAAAAATATTTTTGTGCATACGGTCAAATGTCTCAAAGATAAAAAAATCATATTGTATTTTTTCATACACCAAAAACAATATTTTAGTAAGCATTTTGGCTTTAATAACTAGTTTATTAAAGTCAAGAGAACATTGGCCAAAATTTCAAAAACATCAAAAAATTTATTTTGTTTGTCGCTTAGTATCTGGGGTATGACATTATACGTAATGTGTATTCTGGATATTTAATTTATTTTCTGGATAGTAGAATGGTTAGGTTTAACTGTATTAAGGAGGGTTTGTCTTGAACCCTAGACATACCAATAATTAAAAACCACAAAACAAGATGTTAGATTTGATCAGACAAAACAATGCAAGCTACCTTAGGTAGGGCATATTTGGGGTGTTAATACCTTCTCTTTACGCAACCATTTTTTGTACTTGATCTCTAAGACCAGTTAGGGTTCCTAGTAACTAAAATACTAAGTGGCGACTCCCATTCAAATTTTTCACTGATAAGAGACACAAGAATTCCTTTTCTCTCCATATTTGTCAGAGATGCACATCCATTTCCATCTTTTTTGGGATAGTGGATAATCGTCGCGACGCCGCACACGTGTGACATAGCTAATGACATTAATTGGTTGGCTTGATGTTAGCATTTACAATGAACTTCAATAGTCGGTCCCGGTAAGGGCGACTAATGACATTAATGAGATTCATTAGTGTCAGCATTACCTTCCAAGTTTTGGGAAGAAATGTTATGATTGTATTATCAATGAAGAATGATTGAAGGTGTTAATGAAATGGGGATCAACATTTTGAATGAATTAGTTCTTCGACCTTAAAAATATGGATGTTGGTTAAAATTTGTGGAATGAAAAAAAAAGAGGGAAATGTTTAGTGATTCCTGGATGAATAAATTTAGAAGTGTTAGATGGAAATTATGTAAACCCCCGTAAATAAATAAATAAAAACATAGGATCGAAGTAATGAGGTCTTGATGAGTAATGGAGATTTGGTATGAAATAAATGAATAAATAGTAGGAATGATAATAAATGTGTCATGTGAGAGAGAGAATAATCTCCATAAACAAATTTAAAGGTATCGTTGAAGTCGAAATGAGAGTCATGATTTTTAGTTTAAAAATCCTAACATTGGCGAAACCAGTGATGAGTTTCATTGGATAAAAGAATAAGAAAAAACAAGATATGTAAACCCAGATAAAGAAAAAAACTTATTTCAACAAATTAGTGATAAATTTGATAATATTGAATTTGTTGAGCATAAATTAAGGGGAAATGTCATGAGAATCTAAGTTAATAAAGTAATGCATGAAATTTAGATTTTAGCTTAAAAGACACTAATTATCTAGTTTTACGATATTGATAATATATCTCAATCCGACTGTTCGATCGGACTGAAATTTATAAGAAATCTCCGGACTTATTGGTTTATATTAGGTTAAAATTACATGTCAATCGAAGTTTGGAAAGGTTCTACTAGAGTACTCAAAATCGGGTAAATTGAAGAAAATGACACAAGGGGCATTAATAAGAGCATTTTGGTAATTTTATATAAAACAATATCCCCCTCTCCTACTTTAATCATAGCTCACGTTCTCTGCAAAAGGAGAAAATAGGAGGAAGACCATTTTTCTCCCATTTTCTTCATCTCCACTCCATTTCTTCAAGTTAAATCAAAAGGGAGTGTTCTTAGGAGGATTATATCCAATAAAACAAATCAAGTAACCATACTTAAAGAGTTATAAAGCTTGGGAAAAACAAAGAGTAGGAGTTGGAACTTGAAAAAGGAGGACATGAGTTTTGTAGATTTTTGCAAAAATTCATTGAAATAAGTTAAGGTAGCAAAGGTAAGCAACGTACCCTTTAGTAATCTTGTTTTTCTCTCTTGTTCTTGCATGAGAAGAAGAAAACCTCCAAGTTCAAAATTCTAGGATTCATGTAAATATTTTGAGGGAATGATTTTTCTTGTGAATTTCAAGATTAATTGCATGATGATGGCTTGATTTGCAAAAAAAAAAAATAGAAGGAATACGTTGATTTGAAACTATGGGTTTTAGGATGGCAACAGGGCAGGAATTTCGACAGCCATATCTTGGCTTTCCACCATTGGATTAGGTTGCATTTTGGATATGTTATGCTCAATGTCAACTACATTCTGACCCGAGAGATTGTCAATAAAAGACTTCGTTTGAGGGTTGTTGCTGGAGGAACATATTTGGAAAATCACCCTTCAAGACAGCTTCGCTCGTCGGCCATTATATTCTCATTTCACCATTGGATTGGTCTGGCTTTTGGATATGTTGTTTGTCCAAATGTTGTATAAATTCTGAACGGTTAAGATCAGAAACAAACACTCCTACCAGAAATTGTACCTCTTGAACTGTAGGTCTCCAATTTCCAGGTCAGTTCAATATTGTTCTGATATAGGGAGATTTAACTGTTGGATGTATGTTAATTTTGGATATGTTATTCTAATGATGAGGATGTATAATTCAACCGTTTGGATTTATTGCATTCTAAATTTAAAGAATTATGTTTTAAATTTGGTTTGAGAAATATTAAATGAGAATATGATGTTTAGCATAAAAAGTATGTTTTGGGACTAAGGATAATTGTAATAGGTTTAATGATGATGGAAGTGTTTGAGAATTGTTTGTATTGTGTTTGAGTCATGTTTGATGTGTTGATAAGTGATAGTATAGTTAAACTCTATAAGAAAAAATAGTGGTGGATTAATACTTTGGTTGTATTGGATTGAGAAACATGATATGGAAAAGGAGGTTGGGATGAATTGAAATTAACTTTGAAAAATTAACCTCTATTGTAGTTGGCCATGTTAGTTAAATAAGCACCGGAATGTTTGGTAAATTACGTGTCTAAATGAAAAAATGAATGGGAAATCATGGTAAGGGGTGTTGTAAATTGAATTATGATATAAAGAATCATTTTGAGTATGCTTTGGAGAAAAAAACAAAATGGCATGTGCAGTCATTGCTGGAATTTAAGTTAAATTACATTGTTTGGTAATAGGTTAAATGTCTTGTAACATTAGAAAAATATCGGTAACGAAAAGTCATGTCCTTTGGACATTGAAAATCATTGATGAAAAATTGAATTAATTGGACGTTTAATGTTAGTGTAAATAAATTCTAATGTAAATGAATTTAAATGACAAGTAAGAAAATAAGATATATCCATGGAAATTGTTTATGAAAGTATTTGATTTTGAGAATTTATGAATAAATCAAGAAGATTCAAATATTGATTCAAGATGTTATATTGAAATGTAGGAGAAACATTCACTCAACTTCTTAGTGGCTCGTATAGTAAGAGCTTAAGGAGGAGGGACTATAAGAGGGGCACAACAAAAACAAGGGAGCATGAGTCAAGCTTCTGCAGCTGGTAGGTGCTCTATACCTACAGTTTTTATATAGTGTTAATTTACTAACTTATTAAATTCTTGGTCCTTGCATCTATGGGTGAAACTACAAAGACAAAGTATAAAGTGAAATAAACAAGAAATTAAAATGGATTTGAGTACTTGATTGGGTTAAGAATATGAATTACATCAATAGACTTTATTGATGATCGTTCCTTAAACTTGATTAGCGGGTCCCAAATGCGGAGGCTAATGATGTTAGTAAGGTTTACTAACATCGGCATAATCATTCCTGAAAATGAGGGATATTGAACTTGATTAACTATTCGGGTGAGAATAGTTAATGATATCGGTCGACGCTGTTGATATCGGCAATCACACGAAACTTAATTAGTGACTTCTGAATGCGAAGGCTAATGATGTTAGTAAAGTTTACTAACATTGGCATAATCATCCCTAGAAATGAGAGATACTGAACTTGATTGACTATTCGAGTGAGAATAGTTAATGATATTGACCAGTGCTGTTGATATCGACAATCACACAAAACTTGATTAGTTGTTCTTAAAGTAAAGCTAATGATGTCAAGAATCTTGACATTAACATTTCCAGAAAAATTCCAAGGTATTATGGAAAGAAAAATCTGATTGGCTATATTGGTTTAGAAATAGTCAATGATATCAATCGGTGGCATTGATTTCAGTATTTACAATAAACCTGATTAGTCGGTCTTGATATCCTGATATGGGCAACTAATGAAACTAATGCAAATTCATTAGTGTCGACATTCCCTTCCAAGTTTTGAGGGAGAGCTATTATAATGATATTTTTTTATAGGGAATAATTAAAAGTCTTAATGAAATGTGGATTAACATCTTGATAGGATTATTCATTAGGCCTTGGACATACGAATATTAATTAAAAATTATGGAATAAGATGGGTGGAGGAACTAGTTACCCGGTAATCAGCTAGTGGTATCAATTTTTTTCTAATGATCAGAATATGCAACTTGAGTTAAAATTATTTGTGTGGTGTTAATATTGTCGGGATGGCTAACTTGTCAGATTATAAATGGAATGTTGGATGATACCTTATTGTTAAACAAAAAGGGTAAATTATGTTTATGTTATGGATTATTAAAGGAATAAATAAAAGAAATAAATAAATAAAATTGATGAAGAACTAATCCTTGTGAAGGATGGAGGCAAATATCGTATCGCTTAGGATGTGAGAATAGAAGTTCATTAACTATGGTAGGTAATTCGTCACCTTAATTTATAATTATTAGTTTTTCTTAAATAATTATGTTGTTTCCTTAATTGATGTTAAAAGAATGAAGCAAATGAATAAACTGAGTGATTATTATAAATGAGAATTATTGGTAATTTATGTGAAATTACCTGGATTATTATTTAGCTAACAAAAAGAGTTAGTCGGATGTTGGATAATTCGTATGGAATTACCAGATTGATTTTGGCAATCAAAAATGGGTTAGCCGGATTTCTTAGGTAATTAAGAGAATTACCAAGTTTATTGGTTAACAAAAATGTTAATCGGATATGGGGTAATTCATATAGAATTACCGGATTGATTGGCTGACAAAAGGGTTAGTCAGATGTTGGGTAATTCATATTGAATTACTGAATTGATTTTGGCAACCAAAATGGATTAGCTGAATTTCTTGGGTAATTAAGAGAAATACCAGGTTTGTTGGTTAACAAAGACGTTAACTGAATATGGAGTAATTCGTATGGAATTACCAGATTGATTGGCTAATTAAAAAAAGGGGGGGGGTTTAGCCAAATAATAGGTAATTTGGATGGAATTACCATATTTATTGGTAACCGAGGAAGGAAAACCAAATTTGTGAGTAATTATATGAAAGTGTTAGAATTATTTGTAATCGAAATGAGTTAACTAAATATTTAAGTTTTAAAAATATTATGTAAATTAATTGATTGAAGTTAGAAGTATTAAATTTCAAAGGTTAAGAGTAAAATAATTAATATTTGACTAAGATATTGAGTAAATTGATTAATATGGTTATTATTGAAATAGGTCCATTGCGAGGTGATGCAAATCGTTAGATGTAGGATTCTTCTGTTTATGAATTATCATTTTGGAATGTAATATTTATGTCTTTATTTTTTATGAAAACCTTTATAAAAATTAAGATGTGTAATATGTAATAGTACTCCTTTTATATTAAATGTCAGGACATAAAATTATACTATTTTGTATTTGTAATCTTAATGTTTTGTTTACTTCCAATTATTATGAATTATATGTGTTAATGAAAAAGAAATGAACATGCAAAATATTATGCACAATGAATGATGTGTCATTAAGATTCTACATGATTATAATATGATTGAGAAATAAGTATAATTGTACAGTATGATTATCGATAACTTGGAACCTTTAGGTATAAGGAAAACTCTACTAAAATTTCAACGAGAATTTTGGCAAGTCTCAGATAAGTTTGATGGAAAAAAATACCCATTTTCTTTAAGTTAAGACTCAAAGTTCTTTTACGAATGCATTAAATTACGGGGTGTTACAAATTAGATGGGGAATTGTAAGGAATTATGATAGTACATAGCATTGAATATCTATACATGTATTGTTTGATTATTTTTTTACAATATTATTGCCTTTAATATTATTATTTTCCAAATATTATGTTGTTGCAGGTCCATCATATTTATGACAAGAATAATATCATAGATCCTTGATTTTGTGTTGTTTAAAACTAATAACTGTTGATGTATTTTGTATTTTAAGAAACTATATAATTTGAATTGTAATGATATCCTTTAAATCTAATGTCTGAACGTAAATTATATTACCATGTACTTGTAATCTTAATGTATGTTGTTTTTATTATCTAAGTATTAATCTATGTCCAACTTTAAAATGTGGATGTTTGGGATAATGTGGTTGTACCTTTGAATATTAAGATATTTGAGATATAGAATGTTTGGGATGTAATTGAACAATGAATAATAGATGTGTATAAGTTGTTTGTCGATAACTTGGGATCTCCTGGCATAAGGAAACGTTGCTGAAATTTCAGTAAACCTTGTATGAATTTGGTAAAAAAAAAAAAAAATCATCATGTTTTTTCCTTTTTATGATTGATGTGTTGGTCCTAGAAATGGGGATGTTACACCTCTCATCTTAGTTATCATTATCTTGATTTAGTATCTCATTGTGCTTATGTCTTGCATAATGTTTGTTGCCATGAAGGTGCGTTACCATTTGTGAAATCTGAACAAATAGTAGAACCACAAAACACCTCCTCCTATCTTATACCTACTACAGTCTAGCCAAACTTGTTTGCTTCACCAATTTTCTTCCCCACTATACCTCCGGACCACCAAATAGCCACCCTTTTAACTGTTTTTGACACATCCAATGACACCTCAACCCTGACTTTATGTCTCCATCTATTTGTTTATTGAATGATCATTCTCCAGGTACATGTTTCCCTCTTTTAGAGCTACAACTTTCCAGGTCTGCTACTGTAGATTCTCGTGGATCTGCAGCCATCTCTCCAGGTTTTGTTACCGACAGACATGCAAATCGGTCTGATTCTCTAGCGTATTTGAACTTGGTTGTTGACCTCTCATCTTATCCTCTCCAGCAGTATACAGTTTCAGGTTCTCCTCCCTCTCATCCTGCAGTTCATTAGCATCATATGTTACTTTGTTCATGGTTGTAAAAAACAACCCATTTGACAACATCTGCTGCTATGTCTGCCAGCCCTCTCTCTCAGTTACTCTCTCCTCCTATTTATAAACCAATTAGATTTTTTTGATGCTAACAAATATGAGTCTTGACATGTGCTATAAAGGATGAAATTCAGGTCTTGTGTTCTAACAACACTTGGTCATTGGTTCCTTTTCCTCATTCAATGAATATTGTTGGCAAACATTGGGTGTACAAGATAAAGTATCATGCGGATGACAACATTGAGTGTTATAAGGCTCGATAAGTTGCTAAAAACTTTACTCAATAAGAAGGTATTAATTATTCTAACACCTTTAGTCTTGTGATTAAGCAAGTGATTGTCAGGTTGGTTTTCTCCATTGTGATTTCATATGGTTGGATGATTTATCAACTCAATATACATAATGTATTTCTCAAAGGAGTACTTCTCAAAGAGATCTACATGTAAAAACCTCTAGATTTTGTTGATTTTACTCTTTCTTCTCATATGTACCGGTTAC